TTAAAAGCCGGGCCGCGGTGGCTCAAGCCTGTATCCGCCTTGGGAGGTCCGTTTTATCTGGTGGCGGATTCACTTGAGTCAGGGCAGATGGGAGATCATCCTGGTTGTCTATAACCACGGTAGTAATCTCCTGTCTCTCTAAAAAATACAATAAACTAAGTCCGGGCGTGGTGGCAGGGCGCTGTTCGGCCCCGCTACCTCAGTGGATGGGCTGGGCAGGAGAATGGCGTGAGCCCGGGATGGCAAAAGCTTGCAGTGATGCCGAGGTGATCGTGGCCACTGCACTTCCGGCCTGGGGAGGACAGAGCGGAGGGGGGACTCGTCCAAATAAAATAAAAAAAAAAAAAAAAAAAGAACGCCTTTAAGCGCTTTTCCGCCCTGGTTGGGCCAGGTGTTCCTTGCCCTCATTCGGTAAACCCACTACCTTCCAGCATGGGCATCATGGCCATCATGAACATGTCACAGTGCTGCAGAGATTTTGTTTATGACCAGTTTTGGGGCCAGTTTATGGCCATATTTTGGGGGGCCTGTTCCCAACACCCTAGGCTGATGGCAGTGGTTCAATCTCAGCTCATTGCAGCCTCCAACTCCTGGGCTCAGGTGATCCTCCTGCCTCAGCCTCCCCAGTAGTTGGAACTACAGGTGTGCGCCGGTGTGCACAACCCCAACTCTTTTTTGTTTTGTTTCAAGATGGAGTCTCTCTCTGTTGCCCAGGCTGGAGTGCAATGGTGGAATCTCTGCTCACTGCAACTTCTGTCTCCCAGGTTCAAGCAATTCTCCTGACTCAGCCTCCTGAGTAGCTAGGATTAAAATTACAGGTGCCTGCCACCATGCCCGGCTAATTTTTGTATTTTTGGTGGAGATAGGGTTTCACCATATTGGCCCGGCTGGTCTCTTAGCCAGGCTGGTCTCGAACTCCTGAGCTCGTGATCCACCTGCCTCGGTCTCCCAAAGCGCTGGGATTTCAGGCATGAGCCACCGCACCCGGCCAGAATATTGAATCTTCTAATCTGTGAACATAGGATCTCTCCCCATTTTTTTAGGTTGTCTTTGCTTTCTCTCAGCAATGTTTTGTAGATTTTAATGTATAAGTCTTGTATTTATTTTGTTAATTTTACTCCAAAGTATTTTATTCTTCTATGCAATTGTGAATGAAGCTGTCTTCTTAATTTTATTTTCAGACCATGTATTGTTAATAAGTATAAATAAAATTGGCAGTGAATGAAGGTCTTCTGGTCCTCCTTGTGATCTTTATGAACTTGTTCATTTCGTAGTTAGTTCTGTTAGCTTGTTGTTGCTGCTCTTGATTCCTTAGCGTTCCCGTTCCCGAATGGATTTTTTTGTTGTTTTTTAGACAGGCTCTCACCCTGTCACCCAAGCAGGAGTGCAGTGGTGCAATCTTGGCTCATTGCAACCTCCACCTCCCAGGTTTGAGCGATTCTCCTGCCTTAGCCTCCTGAGTAGCTGGGATTACAGGCGCCCGCCATCACACCCAGCTAATTTTTGTATTTTTAGTAGAGATGGGGTTTCTCCATGTTGGCCAGCTGGTCTCGAACTCTTGACCTCAGGTGATCTGCCTGCCTTGGCCTCCCAAAGTGTGGGGATTACAGGTGTGAGCCACTGTGCCCAGCATTTTTTTGAGGCAGGGTCTTGCTCTGTCACCCAGGCTGGAGTGCAGTGGCATGATCTCAGCTAACTGCAGTCCCAATCCCCCAAGCTCAGGTGAACCTCCCACATCAGCCTCCTAAGTATCTGGGACTACAGGCACAAACCACTATGCCCGGCTGATTTTTGTGTATATATATATTTTTGTTTGTTTGTTTGTTTGAGACGGAGTCTCACTGTGTCTCCCAGACTGGAGTACAGTGGCGCGATCTCGGCTCACTGCAAGCTCCACCTCCCGGGTTCACGCCATTCTCCTGCCTCAGCCTCCCGAGACTACAGGCGCCCACCACCATGCCCGGCTAATTTTTTGTATTTTTAGTAGATACTGGGTTTCACTGTGTTAGCCAGGATGGTCTCGATCTCCTGACCTCGTGATCCACCCGCCTTGGCCTCCCAAAGTGCTGGGATTACGGGTGTGAGCCACCACGCCCAGCCGTATATATATATTTTTTAGAGATGGGATCTCACTGTGTTGTCCAGGCTGGTCTCAAAGGTCTCAAACTCCTGAGCTGAAGGGATCCTGCTGCCTTGGCCTCCCAAAGTGCTAGGATTACAGGTGTGAGCCACTGTGCCTGGCCACCTTTTATTTCTCTTCTTGCCTGAGAGGACTGCATAGAAACCCAGCACCGTGACAATATAAATGATGAAAGCAGACATCTCATACTGTCTCTAGTGCTACTGGAAAAGCATTTAAAAGTTCCCATTTTTCCTGACCAAGCATGGTGGCTCATGCCTGTAATCCTAGCACTTTGGGAGGCAGAGGCGGGTGGATCACCTGAGGTCAAGAGTTCAAGACCATTCTGGTTAACATGGTGAAACCCTGTCTCTACTAAAAATACACACACACAAAAAAAAGAAAAAAAATTAGTCGGGCTTGGTGGTGGGCACCTGTAATCCTGGGTACTTGGGAGGCTGAGGCAGGAGAATCACTTGAACCCCGGTGATGGAGGTTGCAGTGAGCTGAGATTACACCATTGCACCCCAGCCTGGGCAACAAGAATGAAATTCCATCTCAAAAA